CCAGGCCACTGCAGTGCCCACGGAGGAAGGGCTCGCCCGCCGAAGGGGACGGGTTGGGGTAGAAGACGGGGCGGCGCGAGGTGGCGGCCGACATCGCTGACCAGGTCAAACCAAACCTGGCAGAAAAAAATGGAACCTCCAACGGTTTCCGTTACGCACAAGCATATGCACTCTTTCGTGCCGCTCGCTCGCCGGTGCGCGGCGCATGGCCTCCCGCGCGGCTCGCGCTCACTCGGCCTGCCTCCGCCTCACGGCTGGCTGAGCATGCCATGGGTCCGCCTGGTGCGGCGCTGCTCGCTCGCTGCGCTGCACAAAGCTGCGAGAAGCAGGGTGGCCTCCTGAGCTTGAGCATGGCGCAGCGCGGCTGCTGGTGCTCGAGGGCGGCCGTGCAGTGGCGTGAGGGCCTGATTGGTGGTGACCTCGTGCTGCATCAGCGTGCGCAGCATGCTCCCTCACCCGGTGCTGAGACATGCTGGTGGGCGACTGGCGCCAGCTTCTCAGTGCTGTCCCTGGCGTTGTGCAGCATGTCGCAATACTCCTGCTGCGCTGACCGGCGCGCGGGGCGCGTCGTGCCGCGAGAGGAGCGAGAGGCTCGAGGCGCGCGGCTGTCGGTCAACCCTGCGGCGCATGCGCGCCGCCAAGGCTGCTCGACAGGCGACTGGCATTGTGGCGACGCGGTCGCCGTTACTCCAACTTTGCTTTGCCGATCAAAAGCGCCCGTCCTTTCCTTTTTAGCCGCCGAAATTTAGCTTGCTGTTTTTTTTTCTTTATAGGCGTCTGCAACTTCCAAGCTGCGTATTCTTGTATTATCGTCGAGTAGTACAGGTACTTCGTGGGGGCAGGGTGTATTCTCGTAACATGTGCGTATTCTCGTATCACTGGCTCCGAGTAGAAAAAAGAAAGAAAACTTACTAGCTCCGAGTAGAGGGGGCGTTCTGCTGCTAGGGGAAACCTGGAGCGCGGAGCTAACCCTCGGAGACCCGTGTTTACTTTAAGGCCCTTGCCCTGCGAACGCGCACCCCCGGGGCTAGGGCTCTCTAGCCCGTAACCCGATACCGATCATCCGGCCCGCTGGATGCGCTTCTCAGCTCACCGGCCCTGGATGTGAGGTTGCCGACTGCACTCCAAGTGCTCCAAGTGCTCCAAGTGCTCCTCGCGGCTTTGGCACCTCCTGATATAATGCTGATTTTTTGCTGAGCGGGGCGGAGGCACGCGGGCGGCGGAGGCGGCGGCGGACGACGTCTACTACCTGGCCGTCCCCTGTGGTAGCTTAGCGATCAGGGAGGATCTACCTGTTCGGCCTCGAGGAAGCTGCTGGGGGAGAGGGGGGGAGAGAGGAGAGGAGGAGAGGGGAGAGGATGAGAAGAGGAGAGGAGAGGAGAGGAGAGAGGAGGAGAGAGGAGAGAGGAGGAGGGGGAGAGGAGAGAAGAGGGGGGGGGTGAGAGGGAGGGAGGGAGGGAGGGAGTAGGGAGAGAGGGAGGAGAGAGAGAGAGGAGAGCCTTTGAGCCTTGGCACCAGCCAGGTAGTTGATTTGGCCCTGGCACCAGCCTTGGCAGTTGATTTGGCCTTGGCACCAGCCTTGGCGGGCGGGCACGCGGGACATGCACAGGCGCCAAGGGGCGCAGCGCCGACAATCACGGCGGTGATTGCGGCGCAGGTGGGGGGACGGGAAGTCCGTCGGCGTTGCCGGGGGCCCAAGGAAGCGCGAGGGAAAAATTCCGCCGCTGAGGGCGCTCGTGCGGCAATAGCCGGGTGGAGGGGGGAGCGTGCCGGACGGGGCGTCGTCGCGCCGTCCGATGGTCTGCTGCCCCGCGCAGCAACCGTCGGGCGACGACCCGGGGGCCAAAAACCCGGCGACGACGGCGCTCTGGATGGGGCGTGACCTCCTGCCTCCAACCTCCTTCCTTTTTGAGCAGGTGTGACGCCGCGCGAGCGACGCTCCGAGATCGCCCGAGATAGCGCGGCGCGGCGGTGGGTGAGGTGGGGCGGGGTGGAGAGGCGTGGCGTGGAGCTCCGAGATCGCCCGAGATCGCGCGAGATCGCCCGAGATCGCGCGGCGCGGCCCGAGGCGAGGTGGATGGGTTGGGAGCGAGGGGGCGGAAGTGATCAGTGCGGTAGATCGGTCAGTCGGGGCGCATGAGCCGGACTTGTGGGCCGGACCACCCAAGTCCTTTATCTGCGTTGTTGAGCCAGGACTCAACATACTCGTTCTGTTGCCGTCCCAAACTGTCACTCCCCTTTCTCCCGGCCGGGGCGGGGCGCGCGCGGGGGCGGCGGGTGTGCGGCGAGTGTGCGGGATGTCTGTGGGCCCGAGAGCGATATGCCATGTCCGCCTTGCGTTGTTTCATAACATCGAAGGCTAAGCTCAAAAAATTCGTTTAGCTCGGCGGACAGAAGTGATGACGGCCAGGATGACGGCACGCACGCTGGGGCGACACACACACACAAACTCACAAGACCCACCTGTACCCTCTCTTTATGATATTGCTAATTACTAACTAAGGACCCACCAGGTTAGCATGCCCCGAGAAAGCAGTCATCATGTCATCGCACCACCACCCTTGGCAGCACAAAGCCGCGCCAGACGTCCGCCAGCTCCGGAGCCGCGCCCTCGCGGCCGTCGAAGCGCTCCTCGTCCCAAGCGATCAGGTAGCCCAGCCGCATCACCTCGACCGCCCGCTTGCGAGCCGCTGTCGGGAAGAGCTCGTGCGACTGCGGCGACCACTCCGCCGCCGTGAGGATGAGCCTGCCCACCTCCACCGCCTCGGCCGCTGGCTGCAGGTTGGCCGGCCTGAGGGAGGGCAGAGGTGTGTCAAAGAGAGGATCCGGCGAGTCGGGGAGAGACCATTTCAGTGCGCGCCTCAGTGCGAGTGCCTTGGCCTCGCCCGCCACGCGCACGCCGAAGCGAGCCGTCGAAGCGTTTGCGGAAACGACGACGCCGACCTTGCCGTTCATCGACGGCCGCGAGACGAGAGAGCGGATCTCGACTGTGGAACCGACTGCCGCAGCGGTCGGACCCGACTCGCCCCACGAGCAGAGGACGCGCGCCCGCTCGAGGGGAGAAGGCGCGCCGGCGAGCGGGTCGGCGCCGCCGCGCAGCAGCGCCCGCGCCCGCTCGACGGTGAGCGCCTGCGGAAGAGGGGCAATGGGCGTGAGGACAGCGCGCTCACGCCTTCGGCCGCTAGTCTCGGGCACGCCTCGAGATGCTGGAGCGGCGTCCAGCCGCGGCTGGCGACCAGCCAGGCGGCGAGGTCGGCGTGGCCCTCTTGGGTTGCAACCTCCTCGGGCGTGCCGAAGGGCGTAGCGGCGCGGGAGGCGCCGTAGGAGGAGAGGAGCTTGGCGATCTCGAGGTGGCCGTCCTGGCACGCCGCGAACAGCGGTGTGGCGCCTTGCTCATCGGCCTGGTCGATCGCCGCGCCGGCCTCGAGGAGCAGCCGAACGCACTCGAGCTGGCCCTCCTGGCACGCGAAGAACAGCGGCGTGGCGCCGTTGTTGCGGGCTTGGTCGATCGCTGCGCCAGCCTCGAGGAGCAGCCGGACGCACTCGAGCTGGCCCTTCTGGCACGCCATGAACAGCGGCGTGGCGCCATCCTGCTGGGCCTGGTTTATCGCTGCGCCAGTCTCGAGAAGCAGCCGAACGCACTCGGGATGGCCCTCCTGGCTCGCAATGAACAGCGGCGTGGCGCCGCTCTCCTCGGCCTGGTTGACGGCCGCGCCAGCGTCGCGCAGCAGCCGGGCGATCTCGAGGTGGCCCTTGTAGCACGCGACGTACAGCGGCGTGGCGCCGTTGTTGCGGGCTTGGTTGATCGCCGCGCCAGCCTCGAGGAGCAGCCGGGCGGCCTCGAGGTGGCCGTTCTGGCACGCGATGGACAGCGGCGTGGTGCCAGCCTCACCGGCCTGGTCGATCGCTGCGCCAGCCTCGAGAAGCAGCCGAACGCACTCGAGCTGGCCCTCCTGGCACGCGATGAACAGAGGCGTGGCGCCGTCGTTCATCGCTTGGTTGATGTCAGCGCCAACGTCGCGCAACAGCTGGACGCACTCGAGCTGGCCCTGCTGGCACGCCATGTACAGTGGCGTGGAGCCGCTGATGCAGGCTTGGTTGACCGCCGCGCTCGCCTCGAGAAGCAGCCGGGCGATCTCGGGGAGGCCGTTCTGGCACGCCATGTACAGCGGCGTGATGCCTTGCTCATCGGCCTGGTCGACTGAAGCGCTGGCCTCGAGAAGCAGCTGGGCGCACTCGAGCTGGCCCTGCTGGCACGCGACGTACAGCGGCGTGAAGCCTTCAGCGTCTGCTTGGTTGACCGCCGCGCCTGCTTCGAGGAGCAGCCGGACGCATTCGATCTCGCCGTTGAAGCTCGCAGCGCTCAGCGGCGTGGTGCCGTCGTCCATGGGCTGCTCTATCGCCGCGCCCGCCTCGAGAAGCAGCTGGGCGAACTCGAGCTGCCCCGTCTCGCACGCGATGAACAGCGGCGTGACGCCGCCGTCAGCAGCTCGGTTGACCGCTGCGCTCGCCTCGAGGAGCAGCCTGGCGCAGTCGACGTGGCCCCCCTCGCTCGCGAGGAGGAGCGCGGTGGCGCCGCCGCTATCAGCCGCCCCGACGCTCGCGCCGCCCTCGATCAGCAGCCGCACCGCCTCGGCCTGCCCGTGCCGAGCGGCCCAGGTGAGCAGCGTGTCCTGCTTCTCGGTGTCGTGCCGCGCGTCGAGCTGGGCCTCGAGCGACGTGCCGCGCGTCCCCTGCCCGGAGAGGAAGGCGCGCAGCCATGCCAGGTCGCCCCGAGCCAGGTCGGCGAGCCAGGCGGGGAGGATGGCGCCTGGCGAGTACAGACCACGCCTCACTTTTTCACGTAAACGCACAACCCCGGGCCCCGAAATCGCACAGTGATGACAGTGACATGCAACACGGGGTCCCAGGGAAGGCGAGCAAAAACCTTATCGCGCGCGCTAGACGCCGACTCGGAGGCCGCACCGGTCGGGCGCGCAGCCGGAGAGAGAGGGAGGCGCTCAATCGCCGAACTCGGCGAGCGCCTCCAGCGTCTCCGCTTCGTACGCACCCTCCTCCCAGCAATTGAGCGCCTCCTCCACCCCCGCGCCCGCGCCCGCAGCGTCCGTGCCCGCGAGGATGGCAGCGACGCGCTCCTTCTGCCGAGCGTTCGCCTCCGCCTTCGCCTCCTGGGCGTCCGCCTCCATGACCCGCACCACCTGCTCCCTCCACACGGCGACCCGCCCGGCCAGCTGGAGGTAAGCGTCCGACGACAGCAGGAGCGCCCTCCCGGCCGCCCGCGAATCGGCGCGCGCGCGCCCCGACTTCTGCTGCGCGTTGCGCCTGGCCCTGCTCGACCGTTGCGGCCGCAGCTCCAGCACGACGTACGTGTGGCGTTGCGGGCCAGGCTCGCGGTACACCGGCACCCCGTCCTCGTCCGCGTATCCAGGCTCGCCGGGACGGGCCTCGCTCCAGGCTGTGACCAGCCCGGAGGCTTTCAGCTCCTCCCCGATCTCCTCGCCCTCAGCAACGAGCTCCGCCCGCCGTCGGGCCGCGCGCTTGGCCCGGAATGCCACCGCCTCCGCCGCCGCCGCCGCCTCCTCCTCCGCCGCCGCCTGAGGCGCCGCCTCGGCATCTCTGCCGGGCGATGCCGCCACCGCAGCAGTAGCAGAAGCAGCAGCAGCAGCAGTTGGAGCAGCAGCAGCCGCAGCCGCCGCCGCCTCCGTCGCCGCCGCTGCCGCCTCTGCCGCCTCCTCCGCCGCCTCGACCGCCTCCGCCTCCGCCGCCTCCGCCTCCGCCGCCGCCGCCGCCACGGCCTCGCCGGGTGGTGCGGCCGCAGCCGCAGCTATGGCAGCAGCCGCAACAGAGGCAGCAGCAGCGGCAGAAGCAGCCATAGCCGCAGCCGCAGCCGCCATCGCCGTCGCGCGGTCGCTCAGCATCTCGAACGAATCCCCACGATGAGCAGCGAGGCGAGGAATATCTCCTCGCTGCCGATCGTCGGGCCGGGGAACAGCAGCATGAACATCTCCAATAACACGAGCGTAGCGGGAATAAAGTGGTAGCTCACCCCTCGCTGTCGATGTCCTGGCGCTCCTCGGTTCGTCCAGATCTGATCCATCCGCGACTTCCGCCGCTTCCGCGAGCTCGGCGAGCTCTTCGAGCTCGTCTGCCCACCGCTCCAGCGCCGCACCCTCCGCAAAAGCCTCTGCATGGCTTTTGCCGGAGCAGCCGCCACCTGAAGCCGCTGCATCTGCGGCGCTGGCGAGAGCCCGCTGCACAGCCTCACGGAGCGCTGCCGCAGCGCCCTCCTCCTCCACCACCACCACCTCCACCACCGCATCGGCACCACCGAGATGCTCTGCGGCGAGAGCGACAGTGTTGGCATCGTGCAGTGAAGCGTAAGCGTGCAGCACCGTCTGCTCGTCCGCCGGCAGTCGCTGCCGGCCGCCTGCGCCGACGCTGTTGACGACGCTGGCAGCGCCGCTGTTGCCGCCGGTCGCAGTACCGTCGTCAGCGGCGGCGCCGCCGCCGCCACCAGGTGGGCGAGCAGAGTCGGCAGGCAGCATGCACCTGCCGACCGCCCGACTTCACGGCAAGCACTTTTTCACAGGGGGGGATTTTCTGGAAAAAGGAGGCGTGTGACAAGTGGAGGGTTGGATCGCCGTCTTTCGGCGAGGATGGGTGTTGGAGCCCTCTTTGCTCAACATGCGGCCTGCTCTGCCGCCTCAACGAGACCGCCGCGCGCGCGCGCGCTCGGCATGCCTGCTGCTCGCCTGCCGACCTGGCCAGGCCGCGCGTGGCTGGCGCCAGCTCGTCATCGCAGCGGAGCACCGGAGGCGCGGTTTGCCCGCTGCTGGCTCTCGCCCCGCCGGCGGTTCCACGTGAGTCTATCACACTCTGGAGCCGAAACCAGCCGGAAATGTGCCTCCTCACAGCTCCTCATGGATCTGCGAAGAGAACCGTCTCCTCCAAGTAGCTCCACAGCCGGTCCGGCTCGCCCCTCGGGGGCTTCGTTCAAGCGTGCTGTGTGAGTGTTGAGGTGATACGAGCGCGCGTGGGCGCGGCGCGAGTGCCGTTTTGGGTCTCTTTTATACCAGTGATGAAATATAAACCGACTTTACCACGCGCGCGCACGCGCGCCGCGCTCCTCGACTCTCTCGCACCCGCCCCGAGCCACGCCCCTCACGAGATAGGCGGCTGCGACCCTGAGAGTGCGCAGCGGTGCCGCTGGCGTGCTCACCACACCCACCCATCATGCCTGCATCATTCCTGCACGCACTGCCCGGTCTGGCCGGGGCGTGGGGCGAGATCTGGCATGGCGGCGCGCTTGAATTGAGCGCCTTTGATCGTCTCGCGGCGACTGCTCGCAGGCCGGGCGGCCAGAAACTGTGCCGCTCAGCCATCCGCCGAAGCGAGCGCGCCGGCGGCGGTCCGCCGCCGGCGCGCTCGGCTCAGTGTCTTCAAGCCCGCCGCCGGTGGGGAGCTCCGCATGCCGCACGCCTGCTTTTCGCTGCGCATGCTCGAGCCCCCGGCGAGGGCTTGTGCTGTGAATAGCAGGCGTGGTCTGTACTCGCCAGGGATGGCGCTCATCGTGCCGCCAGAAAGAAGAAAAAATCTTACGCACGCTCTCTCGAGGTCTCTTGGAGCAGAGCCCAGGCGAGTCCTCGAAAGCGCCCAAATGGGTCCTCGGAGAGGGTACCCTGGTGGGCGGGGCCTCTACTCGCCAGGATGGGGCCTCTTAGCTACGCCGATGACCCACCCGACTCCGTGTGGGCGAGTGGCCTGCTGCTCGCTGCGAAACACGTACATAGAGAGCCACCACACAAAGTCCACACGTGACCACTTTAAAACCCAACCCACCCACACACACACACACACATCTAAAGTCGGCATCCGGGTCGCCGTCACGGGAGGAAGCGGGGGAAGACGACTCCGAGGAGGACGAACCAGTGGAAATCCCGTTGTTCGCTCACGGCACCCGGTTAGAGCGGTTTGCCATCGTGCTGATGCTGCTGGGCAACGTGCTGTGTCGTAACGCGGCTCCTTTGAGTGAGTAGTGAGTATTGTGTGTGTCACTACACCTGTGCGTATACGTGTGGGAGTAAGGCCTCTCAGCCCGTCAGGGTCACACCCACTCTCGCACGAGACACAGCAGAGCCGAGAGCGGACACGGCACACCCAGGGCACACCGGGGAAGGGGAGAGTGGGGGCGGCGGCGGCGGCGGCGGCGGCGGCGGCGGCGCGCGGCGCACGCGTGCGCGCGACTGAGGGCAGGGGTGGGGATTCCCGCCGTGCACACACTGCGCGCGCGCACACACCACAACATACCCTCATGAGACACACTGAGGGAAGGCGAGGCGGCGGCGGCGGCGGCGGCGGCGGCGGCGACAGCGCGCGCGCGGCGCGCGTGACGGAGGGGCGGAGCAGCGGCCGCGGCCGCGGTCGCTGCTCCGTCTGTCCCGGAGCGTCGTCTGCGCGGGGTGCGTGTCAGGAGAGGGGGCAAGCGTGGCGGCGCGGGGACACGCGGCGGTGGCGGCGAGCAGGCGAGCGATCCGTGCGCGGTGAGGCGGCCGGCGAGAGGGCGGCGGGTGACGGGGCAAGGAAGCAGCCCACACCCGACCCGTCGCTCGAACGACTTCGACGCCTGCGCAGGGGCCGCAGGGCGGTCAGTGGTGAGTCGAGGCGGAGCCGGCCGCGTGCCGGATGCAAGGCGTTGTGAATGCCATGTGCGTAAGGCCGGGACGGAGGGGGCGCGCGGCGGCGGCGGCGGGGGGGGGGGGGAGGGGGCTCACCCAGTCCGGCGGCTTGCGAATGATGCGCAGAGTGCGCAGGTGACCCACTGAAATGGCAACTCGTCGGAGCTTCCGACTAAAAACACCTATGGGGTCCCTGAACGTTCCGCAGGCGAAAGGACAAGACGCATTTTCAAACCAAACCAGGCAGAAAAAAATTCGTTTAGAACGGCGGACAGAAGTGATGACGGCCAGGATGACGGCACGCACGCTGGGGCGACACACACACACAAACTCACAAGACCCACCTGTACCCTCTCTTTCAAACCAAACCAGGCAGAAAAAATTCGTTTAGAACGCAACCCCTGCCTAGACGAGTACAGCTAAAGAGTACCCGGGGCTCCCCATACGGGAGAGCCCCAGCAGAAACCCGGGCAAAGCACCGGCATTCCTTTCGTAACGCGTTCGGCCCGCAGTCTCGCCCGGCGCGCGCTCCTCTGCGCCCACCTAAATTCCTGAGTCGCTGCACCCCGCCAGTGCACCCACCCACCTGGCCGCCACGCGCAGGAGCGGCTACACAAGTCCACAATCGAGTCGCACGGTCCGCCTCGCTTGAACGGCTGCTTCCACAGGAGGTGCAAAAGCCGCCGCGCTCCACTCCCAGCCACAGCCTGGCCACCCCGCGCGGACACGGGGCGCCCCATAGCCCCACTCGACTGCCCGGCCGCTCACACACCGAGGAGGAGTCGCAGCACCGCCGACGCATCGCTGTGGAACCGTGCAAAGAGCAGCTGCTCGGCGGGCACACCGGTCGAGTTCTCCTTTACGGTGCACTTGGCCGGCTGGACAGTGCATCGAGGCGGCGGCGGGCGCCCGCCTCGGCTCTGCATGTGGACAATGCCGAGGAGGTAGGTGGCGTGGGAGAGGATGGCGTTGGCGTGCTGTCCGCCGCTGGCGCCGATGCTCAGCCCCTCAACCCGCAGCCGCCGCCTAACGGCCTGCAGTCTGTGGCGCCGCTGCTTGGCCGCCTCGGACCGCACCGGCTTCTCTCTGCGGGAGGGATGCACCTCCTCCTCCTCCTCCTCACTCGCGTCTAGCTCAGTGGCAGACGCCTCGCCCTCCCAAGCGGCTCGATGGTCGGCGGACCGAGCGGTTGATGCCTCGGGGGGTGTAGGCGAGGGAGAGGTTGGCGATGAAGAAGTGGGAACCACCTCGTTGGGAGTCTGCGCCGCAGCTGCGCCCGCCTCGTTGAGCATGTTGAAATGAAAGTTATTGGCGTCAATATGGCGCAGGACAGAGATGTCAGCACCGCGAGGAGGTGCAGGACCCACGTTTGCGGTGCGAGCCGTCGTGGCAGGATCAAGCTGAAGGCCTCGAGTGGTTTCCTCATTGACATCCTCGCCCAGAGCATTGCCAGACAAGTTTGCGCCCAGTTTGCAGTCGCTTGGCGTGGTTTGTGCAGGCGCACCAGCCGCAGAGGCAGCGCTGCCGACTCTCATTGGTTCAGCAGCCGTCGCAGTGCTCGACGGATCCGCAGTGTCGGCGCCACCAGCACCGCGCTCGGTCTCGCTCAGCGAGGCGGCCGAGAGCACAGGCAAGCCGCAAACGCGCATTTGGGACGCACGTAAAAGTTTCAACCCTCTCTTTATGATATTGCTAATTGCTAACTAAGGACCCACCAGAGCACTAACTAAGCAAACGCGCGTGAACAGGGCTCCAGGCCCCAAATGACGTGTGAGTGTTAGAGTTGTTTGGTATTGCTAAAAATCTCTCTCTCTAACTAAGGGGCCCTGAGCCGACCTAGCCGCCAAAAACGGAATGGGGCGCCCAACACGTGCCGGATTACTGTGCCCTCCCCGGGTGCAGCCTTTCGGTTCGTGAAGGGTCGGTGCGAGTCGTGCTTTCCTCGATCCCCCGCCCTCCCCCGCCATCTCCGCCGCTTTGTTTGGCTCTCCAGCCTTACCACCATCGCGGGCGACCATCGGGAGGCGGCGAGGCGAAATCAGACTCGGTCGAAAGACCCCAGATCGGCATCCATGCCTTTCTGGACAGGGTGGCCCGCCACAACGACCCCTGGAATTGCGACTCGCCGCTTTCCTCCCGCTGTGATCCTGAGCTCTGTGTCTTGGTTTGCCAACAACATACATACAGAGTGGTTCGACTCCACACAAATCCGAGACGGTGACGGGAAGCGTCGTGCGATCTCAGGCCCAGTGAGGTAGTGCGCCAGACCAACCCGGATCCTGCTGAACGAGCTCCTCTTGTAGCTCGATCGGTCACACCGCCATCGCCGCCGGGGAGAGGGGGGACGACACTGCTTCGGCAGCGTGCACCTCGATCCTGCACCGTGTTTGTTATGACCCCCCCCAATGAACACTCCAGTGAGGGTGGGCGAGACGATCGAGGGGTCCCGTACCATGCGGAATCGACCCTATCCAGTGCTCAAGTGCTCAACAACATACAAAACCCAAAACTAAAGAGCAGAGCGCTGCTTTCCGTCGTGCGTCCTTCCTTGCTGCGACTCCGTTTATCCCGCCGACGACGATGGCTCTGATGATGATCCCCCTGGTGTACTTGGGCATTGGTGCCGTCTCTGCTCTGGGCGCTGGCGTCGGCACGGCGCTTGGCTTCGCCACCGGCCTGCAGATCCGCAGGTGGCTGCCAAAGTCACCGCCTGGCGAGCAGCACTCCACGGCCACCGTGCCGCTGGTGCATGCCTGAGGCCTGTCCTCCGATTGAGAAGCGCAGGTTACTCTCAAGCACGAACACTACAAACGCGCGTGCTTCCGTCTGGCCCGGCTGTGCTTCGTGATAGCGCTGCCGTGAACTAACGGCTGTTTGAATGTGCAGCTTGACGCGGGGTCCGACGTGGTGTGAGGGTCTCTCGTGGTTTGTGTGATTCCTCTGTCATGAAATGGTCATAAGCCTTGCCCGCTCTGCCCCCGCCCGGTCCCAGCCCAGGCGCGAGGCTTCCACCTCTCTCCTCTCGCCAAGCTCGAACGCGTCCTGCCGCCCGAACACCGACACGGATACGGCGGGGTCTCCGGCACACATGGTGACATGGAACACGACCCAACCCCGCGCGCCGATGCACTGTGCTGCCGACGTGCGCGCCGCACAGGGGCGGCGCGACCCAGCTGATCATCTCTAGTGGCGGGCCGAGCGGCGGCGGGTGGCTTTTCGCGGCAGAGGCCATCAGAGAAGCGGCAGCGCCCCACGAGCCCCTACGAGCCACGGAAGATCACGGACGACACGCCACACGCCACGCAGCGGTGCACTCTACAAGCGTCGTGCGTCGATGTCGTGCGGCTTCTCGGGGTCAGTCCGTCACGAGTAGAGTTTGAGGCGGTAGCCGTATGTGTTGGTGGCCAACTTACTTGAGAGAGACTGGGATTCTTCTGGTCCCGTGCCCAGTCAGTCCAGTATCAGACACCAGGGGGACATACAGGATAGCATGCCCCGAGAACGGCGACATTTGGCGGAGGAAACCTGGGAAGGAGGGCGGTTGTGCCTTTCTTTTTGTGCTTCCGGGGGACTGTTCTCTCGGCGCCCATGGCCTTCTGAGGTTTCGTACTAATGACGTCCTTCTTGGCACTTCGGGCGTCGGTGTGTGCGTATCTGTGGTGTCTTTTCCCCCGGTATCCGGTATATGCTACGCGCGCCGGCGCTTCTTCAAATCCAGCGTTTCTTGCCGGTCGAGCAGCTTCTCGCGAAGCCACTCGAGTGCGCGACGAGCGCGTTCGAGGCCGCGCCGGAGCTAGCGTCTGATGACGCGCTCAATTAGATCGTTCGCCGTGCATGTCGACGACGATGAAAAAAAATGTCGTTTGAGCGATGCCCTGTGTCCGCCTTGCTGTGTTCCCTAACATCGAAGGCTAAGCTCGACAAAAATTCGCTAGCGTCTTTTCCTCAATCAGGCTCGGACTGGACACCAGCGCGGTATGGGTGGACGCGGCGGACAGAAGTGATGACGGACGGCCAGGATGACGGCACGCACGCTGGAGCGACACACAGACACACAAATTCACAAGACCCACCGGTACCCTCTCTTTATGATATTGCTGATTACTAACTAAGGACCCACCAGACAGAGCACTAACTAAGGGGCCCTGAGCCTCGCCCTGTACCCCAAACTTCAACGAAAAAATTCACTCGCCCGCGCGCGGGCGGCGGCGGGTGGGCGGGATGTCTGTGGGCCCGAGAGCAGCGATGTGCCAAATGTGTGAGAGAGAGTCTGGGGGGCGTGTTTGGGGAGATGGGGGATCGGGGGGGTGGCTCGTCCAGAGGGGCAGGGAGCGGAGGCGAGAGGCGATACCCGAGGAGCACGTCGTTGAACACGTAGCGAAAGAGAGACCGCCTAGGCCCTAGGTCGTCCCCATGTCCGCCGGTAGTCTCCTGCGGCGGCGGGATCGGCCTCTGCTGCTGGACCTGCGGCCCCGGCTGCGGCGGCTGCGGCGTCCACGTTCAGAGGCCTGTCTCGCTGCACGGCCTCGTGTCGTGCGAGGTTGGCCGAAAAGAGTAAAATTCTCCCCCTCCCACACCGCGCCAGCCTGCGCCGGCCTCCAACCAGTTCTCAATCGACCGGGCCCGCAGAGGCTCTGTCTGCCTGTCTGCATGCGGCGCTGCGCTGCCGCCAACCTCCGCCTCCGCTCCCTGCAATGCCGCCGCCTCAGCTCGCGCTCTTCCACGTCGCCCGCCGTCGTCTTCCTGGTCGCCGGCGAAGCGTCGGGCGACGTCATAGGCGGTCGCCTGATGCGGGCACTGCGCAACGAGTACGGTGGCGCCATCCACTTTGAGGGTGTCGGAGGCGATTCGATGCGAGCCGAAGGGCTAGCCTCCTCCCTCTTCCCCATGTCGGAGCTCAGCGTCGCCGGCTTTGCCGAGGTGCTCCCGTCGCTACCACGCATCGCTGCCCGGCTCGTGCAGACACAGCGCGCAGTCCGGCGTGCGCAGCCGCACGTCGTCGTCGGGATCGACTCAAAGGGCTTCAACCTCCGCCTGCTCCGCTCGCTCGCACATCGCCGCGCCGCCGCCGGCCGCAACGGCATCCCAGCGGCGCCTGTCCTCGTCCAGTACGTCGGCCCGTCGGCGTGGGCCTTCGGCGACGCAGACGCGCGGGCGGCGCGGCTGCGCGGAGGCGTGGACGAGCTCCTCGTGCTGCTGCCATTCGAGGAGGCGGCCGCAGCAGCGTCGCCCGCCCCGCCCCGCAGCCCCGGCCCTCCTCCCCGCCCTCGCGCGCCAGCTTCCACCGGAGCACTCGCTGCCCACGGCCCCGCGCCTTGCCCCACCCCGAGGCGCTCTTTCGGCGCGCCGGAGTGCCCGCCACCTTTGTCGGACACCCGGCGCTCGACGACGTGGCGATCGGAGGCGAGCCGCCGGGCACGGCGGCGGAGCGGGCGGCCGAGGCGGCGGCCTTCCGGCGCGAAGTCGGCCTCTCGCCGTGCGCGCAAGTCCTCTGCTTGCTGCCTGGTAGCCGTGCGCAAGAGGCGTGCGACTGCGGTGTGCGAGGCCAGTGCGTGCCTCTCGGCCACTCCGCGCGTCGCTGGGTCTCCAGGTGAGGGCGATGCTGCCGCTGCTGCTGCGTGGCGCGGCGAGTCTCGCCGAGCGGCGGCGGCGCGGCGAGGCGCTCTCTAGCCGCTGGGCCGGTCTCGCTCGAGGGGCGGCGGACACGCATGTCCGCGACACGTCCACGACATGTCTTGGGGCACGTCCCACAGGTCTCGCTCGAGGGGCGGCGGACACACAGGCGGCGGGAGGCGGCCCCGACCGGTCGCGAGTGGTGCCGCATCTAGGTCCGATCGAGCTGGTCGTGCCCGCGGCGCCGGGGATGCGCGGCGAGGTCGATCGCATCGTGCTCGAGACTCTGGCGGGAGGCGCAGCGAGAGGCGCAGCGGGAGGCGTGAACAGGAGGTGTGAACGAGAGGTGTGAACAGGCAGCGAGAGGCACAGCGGGAGGCGGCGCGCGCTGCAGCGTGGTCGGGAGCGGGTCTCGCCGGGCTGCTTTCGGCGCCGCGGACGTCGCCATCGCCGCTTGCGGCACGCCGCTCGTCGCCGCGACGCGCCGAGTGGGGAGGGGTTTGGCTGAGCGGCGTTGTGGGCCTTAGGCACTGCGTTCCTCGAGCCGCTGCCCACCCCTCCCTCCCGGCGGCCCCACCCGCCGCCGCGCCGACAGGCACCATCAACCTCGAGCTCGCGGCGGCGGGGGTGCCGCAGGTGGCCGTCTACTCGACCAGCTGGCTGACGGGCTTCGTGATCCGGCGGGACACGCCCCTCCACTGCCCTCGCGGCAGGCCGTAGGGTACCCCAGGCCGCCCGCCCGCGCCACCCCTCCTCGCCACCCCTCCTCCCCGCGCCGCAGGCGCCTCCTCCGCCCTGTCCTCCGGCACGCCTCCCTCCCAAACATCCTCGCCGGCCGCACCCTCCTCACCGAGCTCCTCTTCGAAGACTGCACGCCGTGCCGCATCGCCGAAGAGGCAGACTTCCTCCTCGCCCGCCCCTCCCTCGCCCGCGCCGAGGCGGCTCAGATTCGGCAGCTGGTGCTGCCTTCCCTCCGCGCCGTCGGTGACGGCGGCGAGCCGCAGCTTGCAAGCCGCGCAGCCGCGCGCGCTTTGCTCCGCCACCTGCCCGAGGCGCAGACTTGTACGTTGTAGAGACTCCGTAGTGCGTGAGGGTCAGTCAGTCTTACACACCTCCAAGCATGGAGGACGGGCCCACACGCACACACACGCTGCACACGATTGGCTCGGGAGCCGACACGAGGCACGCTGTCACCGGCCGTAGCACTGGGTCCGGACTGCTGGACACACACAGCACACAGCTCACAGAACAGCTCACGAGGTGGCGCTGTATAGTGGGGTTCTCAGGGACCGACACAGGAGAAGAAGGTGGGGCACAGGGACAGGACACAGGACTCACGAACTGATATCCCAACCCGCGCCGGGGGCGGTGGCGCGCGCGAGCGCCGGGGTGTTTGGACCCGCAGTCTGGCAGGCGCCAGGCCACAGATCCGCCGGCAGAGCCTTCAAGCCAAAAAAACTGTTCAGTTTTCAAAGGCAAAAACGCCAGCCTACGCCCTCCCCTCACACTGACACTTCTCCCCTATTCCCGTCTTTAGGTTGCGCACATCTCCCAGCGAGCTAGGTTCTCCGCTTTTTCTCCCCTAGTCATCTGCCCGCGCCGCGCGCCTCTGTGGGCGTCTAGTGCAGCCACTGACAGAACTGTTCCAAAGGAGTGGTCAACGTCTCGCCTGAAGTCGGGTGGGCTCGCGCACTGCTTAGCCCTAGGGGAGGGGTGTGTGTGAGGTGTCGGAATGGTAAGGTTTCAGGCCGCCAAGGTGTGGGGGATTTGGGGGATGAGTCAGGAGCCAGCAGCCTTCCTGCTGGACCTGAGTTCACAGCTCCTCCGCCCGACGGGGTGGTCCCTTGGATTCGGGCCCCGCTCCCTTTTCCTGCGCCTGGTCTGTCCCTGTCAAGTGTGTGTTGCGAGATGCAGAGCTGGTTAGGCTGGAGCGCGGGCGGTGCGGTGGCAGGCGAGGGCAGCGCGGTAGGCGAGAGGCGGCCGCGGGGCTTCGAGTGGCGCGATAGGAGGGTAGGCTGGCTGTGGAGGGGCGCCGCGTGGCCTCGGCAAATGAGTAGTGCTTTATGAGCGGCCAGTTTTGTGCGTATTGCATATCGAGCCTGCGGTGTGGCCTAGTTGGTGCAGCGTTCGGGTCGGGGACGTTTTGGTCGTTGGTTCGAGCCCAGCTGGTGCAGTTCGTAGTCGCGTAGCGCGCGGGTGCGCGGCAGCCTCGGCAACCGAGGCGACAGTGGCGAGCAGGGGCGAGCAGGGGTCAGAGCAGTGCGGCGCGCCCAATTTTTTTCGATGGGCTCGGTCAGTGGGCGTGTCAGGAGGCGGCCGGCCGGGAGAAACTCGGCAGTAAAACTCCCGCGCCGGCCCAGGAGGTGGGAGTGTCACGGAGGCGGCCATTGGCGCGCGCTCCTTGTCTTCGTGGGTCCGAGTTTTTTTTGAGAGCGAGAGAGCAGAGCCTTCAAGCCGCATCCGCGATCCGCGCCGGCTCTCAGAAGAGATCCGGCGCGGTGCTGACCGCGTCCTCGCAGCGGACCACCGAGTTCACGATGATGTCCGAGGAGAAGCGGTGAAGCTGCGGCACGATGCGGTAGTCGCACAATGCCGCATTGCGGTTTGCGGCACTCCTGCTGCAACGCGCACCTTGTGACGGTGCCCTGGCAAAATCGTCCCGATTTCGATGCGCGATTTAGCTAAGTCCCAGAGCCGTTTACGCATGAGCGGGCCCCCTCACCAGCCTAGGGCTCGCGCTTCTGGCCCGAGGTGTCGCCGCTGCCTCCCGCGCCCTCCGGCGCCTGCTGCTACTGCCGGTCGGCCGGTCGGGTCCGCGCGACGGCTCCATCCTCGAGACGTAGCGGTCGCTGAGCGCTTTCTCGACCGCTACGTCTTCCAGTGCACCCTTCACCGCGACCCTCGAACCTGCGCTGCGCGGCGCAGTTGCTGCCGAGCGAGACGCCCCCGCCCGCGCAGGGGCGGCATCACCAGACGCTACCGCATGGCCGAGCAGCGAGCAGTGTGTGCCGCAGTGCCCGTCCGGGCCCTTTTGCAGCTGCCTCTATTGGGCGTAAACCGCGGATATAAGGGTCTATACGGAGGTGGGTGGCCTCTTAGAGGTATGGGAGCCGCTGGCACCGCGCTTGGCGCCGCGGATGCACGTACGAACGAACATTATGAAATCGGGACGATTTTGACCCAAAAATCACAAGGTGCGCGCGGCGGTGAGGAGAGCGCGAGCCCTTGAGCTGCTGGAGTCAGTCCATCGCCCGCGCATGCGCGCTGGCCTTGAGGTGGTTCCACCAACAACTGGCCCAGGGGTTGTGACCCTGCGCAAAGCGCAGGAATTTGCCGAGCGCGCCCTTGGTCCTAGGGCCCCGCTCGGGGAGTTGAAGGCGGCCGCCGTGGTGCGCGTAAGGGTTCCGGAGAACCTCTTGGCACCACGCGAGTGGCGGCCGCCACTCCGACGCGCCGCCGGTGGCGCCGCGCAGAGCGCGCAACACCAACACCACCAGAGGTGCGCCCAAAAGCCACGGGGGTGAGGGTAGAGTAAATAAACAAATAAAACGGACATACTAGGAGATGGGTAAAAAGGAACAGTTCCCCGCCCTGCGATCTTTGTGCAGGGTTCTTTGTGGGTGTGATCCAGATCGGCGACTTAGCCGGGGTCGTCCTCCCGATCGATGGGGGACTAGAGCACACTAGCCGTCTTCCACATGGTCCCTCGGGATCGTCGTGGCATGTTGGGCGAGCCGAGGAGATCGGCCGCCGAGAAGAGATCCCCGCGGAACTTTTTTTATCATTTCACAGGTGACTAGACGCTCTCGACGCACGAACAAGAAGTGCTTCATTGTTCTAATGTACCGTGCTCTGCTGTCTCGGACCAGACTAGGACAGACTACAGGCATGGATCGAGCGGGACGCTCATCATCAACCGTCAAGCAAGACAAGCCCACTCACTCCGCGCGCCGCAAGCCCGCCTCCACGTCGGTCACGCCCCTACCCTCGCCACGTCCGTTGCACTACTGGACGCGGGCCCTCCTCCTCGTCCATTGCGAGGCCATCGACGGTGCAAGCGAGCACGGGTGGCGCGTCGATCTGCGCAGGCGGATCGCGAGGCACAGTCCCCTGCCAAGCCGCTTCGACGATCGCCAGGTGCGGCCTGGCGGACGCCGGCCGCGCGGCCCTCACACACCCAACCGCTCCGGCGCCCACGCCTCTATCTTCTTGGGCAGAAGCTTGTTCGACAAGTCATCTCCGTGGCCTAGGTTGCCTCCTCCTGCCCCCCCCCCCTCCCCCCCCTTGCCCCAGGTAAAGACAGCGCCGTCGGAATTGGTGGCGATGCTGTGGTCGCCACCAGCCGACACAGCGACCACACACCGCCCAGCGAAGGCCTCGACCTTCTTGGGCAGCAGCTGGTTCTGCTCGTCGCCGTGGCCCAGCTTGCCCCAGCCTCCACAGCCCCAGCTCCAGACGGCGCCGTCGGCGGTGAGGGCGAGGCTGTGATCTTCCGCCGAGACAGCGATGACGCGCTGGCCAGCCAAGGCCTCAACCTGCTTCGGCAGCAGCTGCCTCTGGTTGTCGCCGTGGCCCAGCTTGCCATCGCCCGCACCGCCCCAGCTCCAGACGGCGCCGTCGGCGGCGAGGGCGATGCTGTGGCTGTCTGCTGCCGACACAGCGACGATGCGATGCCCAGCCAAGGCCTCGACCTCCTTCGGCAGTAGCTGGATCTGCTCGTTGCCGTGGCCCAGCTTGCCATAGTCTCCATCGCCCCAGCTCCAAACTGCGCCGTCGGCAGTGAGGGCGAGGCTGTGGTCGTATCCAGCCGACACAGCGATGACGCGCTGCTCAGCAAAGGCGTCGACCTTCTTGGGCAGTAGCT